TTTGATAGAGTAATAATGTCTCTTTCTTCTACACTTGCTTCAGTGAAGAATATGTAGCTTTAGTGAGTCTCTGTTGTACAAAAACTCAACAGTTTCATATATGTATGGCTCTTGAGAGCTTGGCTTCTCTGTTCTAGAAGGGATGGATATCCTTGTTATATGTAACAGGATTGGACTGGGTTTATACTTGCATAGTTATAAGAGCCTTGAGCATCAGCTAATTCTAACCTTGTGAAAAATCATCACTACTGTTGATCCTGGAGACAGGAGTGATTCTTTACCCTGAGTCTTGCTCTTCCCATTTACAGTGTCATTTTTACAGTGACATAGGGTGTTTATTCTTAATTTAACTTAATTTGACTGTCTTCTTAGTGACCTGAATCTTTTCATGATGGTTTGCTACTCCAGACTCTTTCTGTACTGTCTCTCTCTCTCTCTCTCTCTCTCTCTCTCTCTCTCTCTCTCTCTCTCTCTCTCTCATAGGCATTCCCATGGGGATTGCTATTCTCAGAGTCTATGGGTAGACCACTAGGACATGACCCCATGTAAGAAACAAAATGTTCCAGAATATTGGCATATAGCCAATGGTTAAACAGGAAACACTGAATTTTAACATGAAAAATAAAAGAAGATATAGAGTTGTGGTGTAGCTCAGTGGCAGAGACCCTGCCTAGCACACATGAGGTCCTGGGTTCAATCTCCAACACTGCAAATCAGAAGAAGTAGTAGAAGGAGTAATTACTCAAACTTTCTAATATCCTGGATTTTGATTCAATAGTCAGTAAGGAGCTGGTCCAGTCCACAGCTTGCTTTCAAGGAGAATCTGGAATCTAGATTGCCATCCTTAGAAGAAGATACGTTGCTGAGAATTAGATGGCAAAAAGGGGTTACTGAGTCAGTAGACAGTTCCACTGGAGTAGGAAAAAGTGAAGAATGTGACAAGGTACAGCCCCAAAGGTTTTATTCCTCTGGTGACAACTGTGAAGAGTCTTTTTCATAGCATGTGACTTAAGGAAAAGCAGCTTTTGATCACATTCTACATATTATTTGAATCACAAGAAAGTATATTAACAGCAAGGAGTATGCATACCAAAATCAAATTTAAGGATATACAAAGCAATGGTACAACTACCCACTCTGTCATTTCAAAATGACCAGAACACCAAAAAGATGCCATCTGTGGAATTTTATGGCTGCAGAACTGTGAGTCACCCAATCCAAGTGAATACTGGATATCTCCAACACAACACTCTTGAAATTAGATTTGGACCTTCATTTTTCCTCAGTTGAAAGAGGACAGAGAGAATATCTAAAGGACAGCAAGTTACCTCATTCTAAGGTACAGGATTTTGAGCTGTGTAGCAGAACTCCAGGTTGTGGTTTAAGGATTATAGGGAAGCCAAGAAGAAGGGGTCAAAGACTCCAGGTCTTACTTTTGTATTTTAGCAAGAGCAGTTTTTCTATGAACATTTTACTTATTTGATAAAGGGGTTCAGTGATAAACCACTGCCCTAGAGGAAACTACTAAAACCAGCAAGGCTGCCCAGACATAGTTCTTCACGGAATTAACCGAACTCTGCTATTCCAGAGTCTCTCTTATTGTTTCAACTTTCCTGTGCCAGAGATGCACATGTCTTAAAAGAGAGAAAATCCTTTCTAAGAGTTATAGATACAAATAGGAAGAGAACAGGAACAGAACAGTTTCAGCTGCAACTAGGAACAGAAACTGGGCAGAGTTGATAGAGCTGCCAAGCAGATCTGTTGGCAGCACCAGAGGGCCAGAACTTCTCTGGCACATTGGGCATGATCTCTATACTGGGCACCTGGCCAGGGGGCTGCAGAATGGATAGCAGTGGACAGAAGGTCATTGGGAAGAAAAAGACATTCATGTGTGGGACAGTGAAGTACACGGTTAAAATGCTATAACCTGATCTGAAGCAAAGCAAGGCTCTCCATACATCTGTGTCTACACTAGAGCACTGAAAATAACTTGGAAAGGAAAAACCAAAGGATGCTGGTCACAGTGTTGAATGACAAGTTATTCACTGGAGAGATGACCACAGGGTGCATTAAGTTCTAGGCCTTTTATCCCTCAAACCTGGAGTTGCTAACTTCTGCCAATACTAGTGGAGAAATAGAAGGAAGGACAGGTGGTAAATTCTTGAGCTTGTAGCCACAGCACTAATGGCCAGATTCATATATCAGTTGTTTGTCCTTTTCCAGCTTCTCAATCCCTCTTCAGCCTTATGAACTTAAAATTTATACTATACTCAAGGGAGCTGTACACCCTAGTAGCACATGAAGTTTGGTTTTCTTATTCTAAATGGACACACCTACCTTACCACAGTGCCTTGACCACCCAAGCATTAGCATATTAAGTTATTCTGTCCTTAAGCCTTCATACCACATCTCTCCTAGTTTGGGTCAGACATTACCAGTTAAGATATGTACTACATAGCTCCCTGTTCAAGGGCCATGGGCAAATCAGGGGTATAGATACACTTCCTGAATGATCCTGGTTAGAATGGCCTTGGGGTTGGTGTTCATGAGCATAAAATCTACATATCTATCTCCCCCATCAGACCTGGCCCTTTTAGATCCAGAGATCAAGGGACAGAGTTAATTTAAAATTTGTTTTGTGGTTATGTCTTGTAAATCAGTGCATTCTGAGCTACTGCACAGTAGACAAACATCCACTATCTGTAGATGTGATGCTTCACAAGGAAAACTATGCTTGATTTGACTTTTCCTTGGAAAGGGACTCCTAGCCCCATCTCCCTCTTCTTTACCTATTCACTTAAATCCCCCATTCAGAAGCTACTCCTTTCCACTCTTTCCCTCAAGCCACTGCTCTAAGATATATTTCTGAACTTGAGAACAGTGTAGTTCTCTTTCTCTCAACTTCAAGCCTGAATATGGGCTGGGCCACCAAGTTGAAGACCAAGAAAGAACAGGTGAAGGACTTGGTTACTCTACAGATTTACTCCAGTCTTTGATGTTTACATCCTGGAATAGAAGAGCTTGAAGCTTTCTTGGATGCCATTTTTTTCTCTTTTCAGGTTCCAACCTGATACCATCAGTTCCCATTGCCAAACACTTGTTGTTTGGGTGACACTTGCCTCTTTAACTCAACTAGCAGGATGAGAAAGCCAAGGGCTGCAGATGAAAGTCAAGGCCTAGCAGGACGGCCATTATTGAGGCACAAACAGCCAGCAGCCTGTCTTAGCCTTGTGCTTAGCCTGCTCTCCCTCAGGACTCTGAGTAGGGTCATCAGTACAGTCCCCTGGGGAAGGAGGTTCCATATAAGGGAGAAAAGGGAGTGCTGTCTCTGTGCTGATGGGGTAGAAACTCCCTTTGGGGAGTTTGACAAGTAGAGGGTGGAAGAAGTCAGCCAGTCAACTGTAAGAAGGGGATCCCCAGGTCCCCCTATTAGGAGAAGCTCCTTTACTACCCTGTAGAAAGGGTTAGGGGGGAGGTCAGGCAAGGTGGAGCTATAATTCTTCCAGTACCCTGTCTTCTTGCTTGCTTTCCTGGGATGAAATTCTCTACATCATCCTCCTCAGTTCCAACCCCTCCTCTCTCCACCCTGCCCCGCCCTGTGCCCATCCCTGCTGGCCAGTGGGTCCATCGCCCAGGAGCCGCCTCCCCTTTCTCCTCCCCTGCGGTTCTTTCTGTTTTTCGTTGGCATCTGGCCGGGCATAGCCACCACCCTCCCCCAATTCTCCCCACTTCCCTTTGCTCCGCAGAGGTCCTGTTCCCTCTTCCCCTCCCCCACTCCAGCCCACCTCTGACGGAGGCGGAGGGAGAGAGGAGGAGAATGCATTCCTTTAGTCCCTCCACAGCCAGCCTTCCCTCCTCCCGGGACCTGAGGCTCTGAGCTGGGACTCCCTCCCTGGTCTCCCTACAAACTGCCCCCGTGCCACCACATTAACTGTCAGCAGCCTTTAAGAAAGCTGAGGTGCCCCCACAGCGCTGACCTACATAGCCCTGCCTGGGGCGGGAGGGGCTCTTCCCCAAGTCCCCTCACCCCTGGCCCCGCCTCTTTTCTCCTCCCTCCCCCCACTTGCTTCCTTCATCTCTCTACCAATACAAACCAAAGGGTTGAGTTGCAGTCTGGGGCAAAGAGGTTAGGTAGGCTACCTCACCTCAAATTTGGAGAAATTAATGGTCAGCCCAGGAAAGCGTTAGGCTTTCCTTTTATCCCCCTCCCCAAATAGTTCGATCTTTCCTTTTGCCCAACCTACCCCTGACCCCCGCCCGTCTAGATTTCTTTTCCCAGATTCTGCCACTGGGTAGGGATACAGCCAAACTGGGGCCCCCTCTGCCCTGTGTTGTTGTTTTGCTCCAAGGAGAAGCCCCCCCCCTCGCTTCTTTGCCCACGCCCCCCTTACCAGCCTCACCCAGGCCCGGTTCTCTGTCCACTTGGAGCTCCACCGCGGGTGGGGGACGGGCGGGGGAGCAGAAATGTTTGCATACAGCTGTTTGCAGGATTGCTCTGGCTACCCAACCCCTACAGACATACACACACAAACATCCTACAGACATACACACACAAACACCCGACACACGCCCTGACTGAAACAGCGACAAATCTCACTCCGCCCCCAACACACACTGACACAGACATACACACAGATACTGACACAGAAACGCAGAACCAGACACCAACACAGACGCGCACACCCAGACACAAACGGACATCAACACATCCAGACCCCGGCAGGCTGCTCTTAATCGACATTAACCCCGAGATGCAGACCCGGAGTGCACACGCAGACACACACTCGACGGTGTACACCGGAGGATGCACACGCCGGCACACCCCACGGTCCTCAGAGACAGGGATGCTCAGAGACAGGCACAAGGGTATTACAGCGGCTGGCGACTTGAACCCTTGGTGCCAAACAAAGCCAACAGGCTCCCTCCGTCTGACTCGGGGTCCGAATCCCCGCCTTGGGTCACTCCCCACCTCCCCTGGCGCCGCCCCCTCCCTCACTCACCGTCCTGGGAGAGGTTGGCCCCGCCGGGCGCCCAGCAGCAGGCAAAAAGCAGGAACAGGGGCAGGACGGAGGGGGCCCCCATCTCGCTTCCCGGCCGCCTCCCTGGCTGGGCGCTGGCGAGCCTGGGTCTCCAGGGGCTGGGGTTTGGGAGGGGGTAGACGACGTCGCTGTCCAAAAGGGCGCCCCCGAGCCGCTTCCAAGCCCGGGGCCGAGGCGGGGACCGGGAGGGAGCCGGCGCGGTGCTGCAGTCGCTGGGATTAAATAGGGCGCTCGGAGCAAACCATTCAGTTGGAGGTGGAGGGGGGGTGGCGGGGGGCTGGGCTGGTCGCGGGGGGGACAGGCTGCCGCATTCCCAGCTCCCCCCGTCTCCCACACCCCCTCCGCGCATTCGTGGTGCCTTCCATCTTCTCCCCCGGGAGCTCCGCCTGCGCGGCTCTCGGGTGTGGAGCAGAGGGAGGGATATGGCTCAGCAGTGGGACCCCACAGGCACCCCTCTTAGACTTGGGGTGGAAGGAGGGGAGTCGGTCAGGGCGGTGGGCCAGCTGGCGAGAGTGGCCACTGCAGGCCTGGGCAAGGGCGTGCCCATTAGCCCGAGATCCTCCAACCCCACCTTCTCCTTAAGCAACTGGGGATCCCCCACAACCCGGGCTCCCATTATCAATAATGTGATCAGGGATAGCTCCCCAATAGGTAACTAGTTACCCTCAATGTCTCCTAAACACTAACATCCCTAGTTCCTTTACCTAAGAACCCCTAGTTACCTCTGTCCAGCAACAATTTGTGGCCCCAGGTAATCTCCCTAGAAAAGCATTTTCCAGGTGACCCCCAGGTCACTGGAACCAAGGCATATCTCAAACCCTTGTCAAATAATTATCTCAGACCCTAGCCCAACCAAGCAGCCTACAAATCAACTCAGTATTTTCTTTTTTAACTCTCTTACACCTCTTGAGTCCCAGCCCTTCCCCTCAATATTTTTTCTTCTTTCTTAATCTTTTTAGATGGTCTTTTCTTTCCTTCTCAAGTTTTAGTTAGTAAGATCTCAAGGTGAATGTTTGATGCACAGACCCTCTTAAAGACCAATGCTTCTGTGACTAATGGAGTTCTTGTCCCTGAGGCTAGATATAAGATGGATGAGAGAGGCAGGGTGTTTGCAGTTGCTCTCTGCTGAAGAGTCCCAGGTCCCTGGTGTTTGCTGTTCTTTGTGATTGAGTGTCTCTGGAAGAGTTTTGGTATGTGTCAAAAAAGGATCTTTCTGAGTTAGTTTTGTTGAAACTTAGCTTTGGGGAATAAGTTTCTAAATTTTAGAATCCTAGAATGAAAGAATTTTAGATACGGTAAGAGTTCTTAGAAAATACCTGATATAATCACTTAATTATACAGGTACAAATAAGACCCCCCAAAAAAGATGAAAAGTCCCACCCCGGGTTACACTGAGACATGCTAGTAAAGGAGGCAGTGTTGGCGAGGAGGATGTGGAACAGCAAGGTTTTACAGCATCTTCCACTTTGAGGTGAGTGCCTCTCTTCCAGCTCCTGGACCACCCTCCTTTCTGTGCTGATGACCATGCTTTCTTGTGTTAATCCTTAATGTCTGGACACTCTTACCCTCTCTAAGACAAGGTTTTTTTCTCTCTCAGTGATGTAGATAATGTTCCTATTACCTAGGAACTCAAGGACAAGGACGTGGGAAATACTTTGTAACCAGTAAATCTCTGCAAAAAGGACAGTCAATAAATAATGGAGGGCAGTATAGTCCATCTTTGCATGTCTCATTTGCCTGATTTTTAACATATCTCAGTGACTTCAAACCATTCTGTCTCCCTGCAGTTTTCTGCCATCTTGGAGTCTTTCAGATGAGCAGATGGAGGGGTAGAGTAGTGTAGAGATAGGGAAACCTAGATGTAAGGAGGGAAGGGCCTGGGCTCTAGAGTGGGTGGTGGGAGGAAATAAAGGGAAGAGTGGATTTTATGACAGAGGTGAGACCAGTTTGGCATAAGGTTAGTCATGCTGATGGAAGGGAGGGTGTTTTCAAAAAGAATCAGCTTCAGTGGGAAGGTTCAGGCTAGTTAAAAGGTCTTGGTGGATAAAGAGTATTATGTTTGGAGCTAGACAAACTTTAGAGATCATCTAAGTAGGATCAAGAGAGGACAAGTTGACAGGGGGTGTGATTGGGTATGGGTGATGTGGGGGGCAGAATGTGGGATTAAGTCCAAAGTCCTCTAATTAATCATCTTTTCCATCTGCTGTTTCAGAATGATCCTCTTCTGCCTGTCCCCCTTAATTCTGTCATGATTGCTGTTCTAGCCCCACCTTCTACAGTAACTGCAGGGGAAGAATACCAAAGGTGGGAGGGAGGGAGGGAAGCTGTTTTGGAGAGAGAGTATTAAGACTAGAAAATGAAACTGTGGAATGCTCTTTTCCTACTGGCTCCTCTTTCCTTTTCTGCATCATCAGCATCAGTTTGGCAGCAGTGTAGGTCCTGGGAATAGGAAGTAGTCACTGGCTTTTAGAATTATAGAATAAAAGAGTATTAGAGTTGTAAAGAACCTTTAAGATTATCTTAGTAATAATAGTCCTTGTTGAACAGATGTGGAAAACGAAGCTCAAAAGCTAAGTGACTTTGAGCTGTTCAGACAACTAGCTAGTAAAGGGGTTACCAGTATTGGGCTGGGCAGAGAGTACCCTTTGGAGGCAGAAATGATGTGGACAACCATTTACAATATTTTACAGCAATGTCCAACTTGACAAATTCCTCAATCCTGGGTACCTCAGAGTGGAAATGTTTTACCTACATTGATGTGGATGTTCCACTTGGAATAACTTCTTACCTATAATCCTTCAAATGCCTCCAGCATTCTACAGGTATCCTATTCACTTCAGAATAGGGTTTTACAAAGAAAGACTGACCTATAAAAATATCCTCATCATAAAGATAGGTAAAATGAAAGTATCCATGTTGGGTTGTGATCTTTATGGTTACTCTCCACTCTAAAATGCTATGGCATACAATGTGCATTTCCCAGAGACTTGCACAGTCTGGAGTAGGTTGTCTGTTGAATTATAGAACTGCAGCTACAGTAAAAAATGGGGAGAGCAATGAAGGGAGTGAAGAGAAGGCGGGTTTGGCCTCCTGGATGCCCCTGTCCACTCAGCAACAGCCTGGGGAATCGGGGGTGTGGAATGTGGTGCTGGCACCATTACTGAGCTAGACACAGCTGTGTGGGCCCTGGGCATTCCTTTCCCCACGCAGCTTCTGCTCAGAGGGGAGAGGGAAGGAACTCAGCCTGCCTGGGGTGAATTTTACATATTCATTTGGGAGGGGATGACAGCACCTGTAGGGAAAAATCTCAGAAGACTTGGCTCAGTTTGCCTTGTACGCAAACCCTTTTCTTCTGTAGAACTGTGCTTTATCAGTAAATCTACACAGGTTCCCACATTGCTCTCCTCTTCAATTTTACACCCAACTAAACCAGTATTCTTCATACTGCTTCTTACTTCTATTATCCTGTTTTAATTAACACCATCCTTAACAATAACCTCAGTATGCATTTTAACTCTAACCTTAATTGAATTCTAATTTCAATCCTAACCCTAATGTATTACAGATTGTAACTACTAATCCTAATACCTATCCCAAAGTAATTGCCAGTTTTAACCAACATCTTAATTCTAACCAATTTTAAGTCAGCAATGAGGATAGCAACTTGCACACAATAAAAAATGGTCACAGGTTCCATTTGTTGAGAACCCATCATATGCCAGACTTTGTGCTGGGTACTTTACATACACAGTAGTTCATGTAAGTCCCAGAAACTGCACTAATGGTAATGTAAATGGGATTGTTAGCTCCACTATGAGTTACAATTTGAAGAAACAGGTTTAATAAGATTATAAAATTTGTAAATGGTGGATTCAAATCGAGGCTTGCTTGACCCCCAAGCCTATGTTCATTCCTCATTTTGCCAAAAAGTATTTTTTCAGTGTTGCATTTAATATTTAGCATTTTATTTAGTATTTTATTCCTATAATCCTAATTAATACTGACTGTAATGACTTCTAAAATCTGAAAGCGTATTATTATTATTTTAGTGTTTTTAAATAAGTAGTGGTACAATATAGAAACCAAACCAAATCAAACAAAAGAAACTCAAGTCTCTCTGCCCAGAGATCCTACTGACACTTTAAAACATTAATTTATTGATGAAGTTAAAAATATTCAAACTGTAGAAAGAAACAAACTGTAGAGAGAAGCCTCCTCTCCTTCCCAGAGTAGCCATATTGTACAACCCCAGGGGGCATCATTCTAATTGGAGTTGTGTAATGTGGCAGTACTGCCTCCCACAGCTTTCCAGAAAAGCAGATGAAGTCAAGGTAAATATCTACCAAATTACATCACCCTGTGTATGTATATGACTTAGGCATGACAATCAGTAAACACTTTAAATTTATAATTAGCAATAAGTATTAAGGGCCAGACTCTGCCAAGCTCTTTACATTTATTACACATTTTAATATTCACAAGCTCTCTGTGCTCTCATGACCCCTATTACAGATGAGGACAGTGAGGTTCGAGGAAGCAAAATGACTGGCACAGGAGCACAAAGATGGGAAATGAGAGATCCAAACATCAAAGCCTAAATTCTTAACTATTGCACTTAGCCAGGAAGGCTTCTCAGGGAAGAGGTCATTTTGGCTTGGTTCTAAAGGCAGGAAGGGGAGTTGCTTGGTGTGAGACAAGAAGATGACCTGTAAGACTATAGAAGGACTTAGATCAATATAGGAGGAGACAATGCAGGAGAGAAGGAATCTAAATATCTAGATTACAGAGGGAAGTGAGCAAAAGGTAAGAGAGTAATGGGGAATAGAACAAATATGAGCAGAGACCAGGGAGATGTTTTGTAATAAATTCAAGAAAAAATAAAATCATGTAATAAATAATGTGTGTCACTATTACTCCAGCTACAGGCTGATTGATGTATTATGGAAAGAAAGTAGACACATATAATAATCTGCAAACAAAAATGCACATTTTTAGTTACATGGGAATCTGTAGCCTCTCCAACAAAATATCTCCACCTTCCTCACCTTGTATTCTGTGATCCAGCAGTGCCAAATGGCTTGTAATTTCCACAACACGCTATGTTGTTTCATGCCTCAGTGTCTTTGCACATGCTATTTCCAATACCTGGATTGCCCATCTCATTAAACCTGAAGAAAATTGTGTTTGTGTTTATCCATCCAAACTTTGATTAGACATT